AAGCAAACAAACAGAGGTGAAAATGTGATAGGGACAATGGAATCTTCTAAGCTCAAATATTGACTATAACAGCCCTTTACAGAAAAGCTTGCCATTTCCTGATACAGACTAAACCTATGGCAGCTTGCTTTCAGAGTTTTCATGGCTATTCCTTCCTCCTATTTCCATCTGGACTTTCTCTCCAGATTTCTGTTGCTTTGGTCCTGCTCAAATTTTACATCTAATTCTGGTAGTTTGTCCCCAGTGTGAGTCCTGTCCTGGAGATAAGGCTTTGCAAGTTTGTTTCGAATGTTGATACTGCTGTTCTCAAACTGGGCTGCTACACTTTTCCAGCATTACCTCATAGTTATTTTAGGATTATCCTGTTTTTAGGCTTGGTGCTTCCCTTTGATTTTTCTTACACAGATGCAGACAAAACACAGGTTGTAAGGCTGTTATTTTTTCACCCATACCCACTTGCATTTTAGGAGTGAGGGCATACCTTATCACATAGTTTTGTGTAAATGTCTAAATGCCTTTGGTTTTCTATATAGTCATTCAGTCACTTTTCATATGGGGATCCAGGAAGATCAAAAACTACCATGACACCACTGCCACTTTCTTGTTAGAATCCACCTCACTCATTTTTAGAAGACAATTTACTTAACAGATTATAATAAATTTGTTTTCAAGATAACATTTACTTTGAGTATTCCTATACACTAAACAAATCACCATGTTTGTATGTTTCTGTTTTTCTCCAGAGTCAAGTTCCCATTATGTAATCTCCCTAAAAGCTTTTAACAATGCAGGAGAAGGTGTGCCTCTTTATGAAAGTGCCACAACTAGATCTATAACAGGTAAGCTAAAATTGTTAATCTTCTTGTGACAAGGCAGTCAGTATTTGAGTCATGGTTTAAAAAAAAAAAAAAAAGCAAACTAAAACAAAATACAAACAAAGATAAAAGCCAGAAATGAACCTGTGGACTCATTTTCTGAGCCATGTGTGTGTGTGTGCATGTGTGTGCATACATGCACACCTATGCACACAATTTCATGTCTCTGGTTCTCAAAATTAAATGGGAGGAATTCAGTCTATGGGAATAAAGTAGTACATGAACTTAGAGAATATAAATCTCTCATTCTCTCTCCTCCTAGTAGCTTCAAATTTTTAATGCCCTGATACCACTCTTTATTCTCCTGAGCACCTTGTCTCAAATCAATGCCATTTAGGCAAAAGAGTCCCTGCACAAAGGCTACTAAATGCCCAATGGGCACTTGCTACTCTGCACAGGACTCTTCAAGCCAGGATGATAAGTTTGAACTGGCCTCCTGGAGCTAGTTTGGACCAGGCTAAATCACACAGGTGGCTTCTTCCTGAGCTGGGCCTAGGCCATTCCAGGTGTCCTTTGTGCCTGGGGCCTCTGAACATTAAAAAAATTGGCTAATTCGGGCCGGCCCGGTGGCGCACTGCTACAGTGCGCCGCTTGAGAGCGCAGCGGCTCTCCCGCTGAGGGTTCGGATCCCACATACAGACCAGTTCCCGCTCACTGGCTGAGCGAGGTGCGAGTGCAATGCTGAGGGTTGCGATCCCATTGCCGGTCCCGGTCCGGTACGGGCACGACACTGAGGGTTGTGATCCGTTGCCAGACACGAAAAAAAAGGAAAAAAAAAAATTGGCTAATTCAAGGGCTAGGAATTCTTTCATGAGTTTGACTATAAAAGCAACACACGAGCAAAAGGGCTCAAGGAAATGAGAAAGGGATGAGTTAGAAGGGGAGATTCAAGCCATTTATGTAGGAGTCTGAGCTTACTCCAAAATAGAACAAGTAACACCTCTCTGGGGCTATTCAAAGTCAACGGAAAGTCACTCGACCACCTCCTTCCCCTCACAGATTTATGTCTGAAACCTAAAAGTGAAACCCAAGGGTTTTATCTCTTTCATTAATACTTTAAACCTGCTCCGTCCCCAAACCCACACCCCTCAGACATCATTTAACTGGTCAGCTATTTTCACCTTCATGAGAGAAAAGAATCTGAGATAGCAAGCACCAGATTTTCCCCAAACCCACACCCCTCAGACATCATTTAACTGGTCAGCTATTTTCACCTTCATGAGAGTAAAGAATCTGATCTCTTTCATTAATACTTTAAACCTGCTCCGTCCCCAAACCCACACCCCTCAGACATCATTTAACTGGTCAGCTATTTTCACCTTCATGAGAGAAAAGAATCTGAGATAGCAAGCACCAGATTTGATAGCAAGCACCAGAGAACATGCAAAGTTACTGGCATAAAAAGTCCGGATGAATAGGATTGAATGGTTATAAAACAGTGGGATCCTGTGGCTTCTGCTACTGCCCAAATTTATGTAAACTTTGTTTAGTTTGTTTTCCACACCCAAAAGCTCCACTCATAGACGACATCGAGGATATAGTTCGTATACGAATTCACAGTTGTTATGTGATAGCTTCCAGAGCATGCCATGACTTTATTTTCAGCCAGATTTTCTTGTAAGGCAAAGTTGTTTCATTCTCCTCACATCTCTGGCCATTGGTTTCAAGGTCTAAGGTCTGCCTAAAGTGGAATGCAAAATTTGGGGCACATGCCAATAAATTCATTTACCTGTGGAGACAACATATGTCTTTTACTGTGCTATCAAAGGGGCTCGTGACTCCCCAAAAAAGGTAAATAAGAAGCATTACCCTAGAGAATATTTATGATCCAATGCTATCTCCAAATATAGGGAGATGAGGCAAATTGAGGTCTAGGATGGAAACTAAGAGATAAGATGATGGATGATTGTTTAGGATTTTTCACTCCCCCTATTCTCTTGCTCTGTCAGCTTCAAGATTCTTTGAGAGATAGCAGGCCACATTGGCTGTGTCAGTGTTTTCCATGGTTTTCATTTAATAAGCCATCTCTTTCGTGCCTGTGGTAAAAGATGATGAGGAACAGCTCACTGACAAGGTGACCTTCAACTTGTGATCAGGCACACAAAATGATACTGATGGCCAGATTTTAATGTTCTTATTCTCTTACCAAAACTAAAGCCCATAAGGAAGTACCACTGAGGTGACAAATAAAAATCAGTTTTTGAGTATAGTAGTAGTAAAAGCAGTAGAGTGCAAATAAACTGAAGGTAAGTTGCTCAGAAAGAACGATTTGAGGCATTACAACTTCTTTCTCCCAGCATTTGTTATCATTCTTTAATTCTCAGCATATGGCATTCCCAGAGTGGTTTCTAAAATACCAGTGATCCAAAAGACAATTTTTTTTTTGCTAATACGACTCTAATCCTAATGGATATGAAAAATGAGATGACACCAAAGGTGGAAAGTGTGTGAGGAATTTTCTTATTGAAAAAAAAGCAAGAAAGGGTTGGAAAGGAATACATGAAGCCAACCCTTTCAAAAAGAAAAGAATACACTTTTCCTTGAAGTGACAGAATCATTTTATTGTGTTTCCCCACATCATGGAGAATGAAGGACACATAAATGCAATCAAAGGTTAAGGGTCTGGGAGAAACTATATCAGTAAATGTGTTGTTGTGCCATGTGGAAGACATTCTCTGTGTCTGAGCTTCTGCAAAGTATTCGCATGAACAGTCTGGAAATAGGCCAGCATAAAATAAATACAAAATATATCAGAGGCAATAGAAGCATCAATCTAGAATAAGCATCAGGCTACAGAGCCGTCTACATGCATGTGCTCACAGATATTGGTGGAGTCCAGAGTCTTGTCTCATACTGGGAATATCAGCATGAGAACTCCCTGGCCAAGTGCATCAAACTTTTCATTTTTGCTGTAAAGCTTTTTATTTCTTGTTGTTGCAAGAGTGAGACATTTGGAGCCTGGACATTTCTTCCCTTCAAAGAAGACAAATAAAAATAGGGGGATAATGAAGTGCATTGTTTGAATTTTTTTATATGTAGCTGTTTTACCAATGTTTAAATGAAGTTCAATTCAGATGTGAAATTGTGTTATTATTCTTGAAGTTCATCTGGAACTTTAGTATACTGACCTAAAATTCATGTGCTTGTACCGAAACATCTATTAGGAATTGAATAAGTTTATTTTTTAGCAAAAGGTATGGGGCTACATTTTTTTTCTTTTTTTACTCTTTTGAATTTAACGACTGAAAACCAGCAGCATATAAGGCAATATAAGGCACCTAGGAGTAGGGAGTAGGAAGGGGGAAAAGACAAAAACTAAAAAAGTGTTGTTTAGCAGCAAAAGAACGTTTTAAAATCAGTTATTCAAAGAGTTTCTGGGGCCGGCCCGGTGGCGCAGTGGATAGTGCGCCACTTGGGAAGCGCGGCAGCGCTCCCACCCGAGGGTTCAGATCCCACATACAGACCGGTTCCCGCTCACTGGCTGAGCGAGGCACGGGAGCAACACCGAGGGTTGTGATCCGTTGCCGGACACGAAAAAAGACAAAAAAAAAAAACTCAAAGAGTTTCTGACCTGAGAGGAAACACAATTAGCAATATATGTAATATGTATTAATAGCAGTGTTTGCTATCTGCTGGAAGGCTCTGCTTTGCTGGAAATGCTCTTTATCTACACTACTCAATATGGTAGGCACTAGGCTCTTGTGGCCATTGAACAGTTGAAATTGTCTACTGCGACACAAGAAGCAAACTTTTTAAAATTTTATTTAATTTTAATTAATTCAAATTTAAATAGTTCATATAACAAATGGCTAATGTATTAAACAACACAGGTCTAGAGGAATGGCAAGCAGAATGACAAGCCACAGTTGAAAAAAATTATTTCCTAAAATAGGAAAGAAAAACTTGGCCGAGGGTAGAAATTTTTGGATTATGTAAGTTCATAGATAAATACAAACAAATATTGTTGCTTGAAATGTGAAAGAAGCATTCTGGAACTAACTCCAAAAAATTCGACAGTATTCATTAATAACATAGCACTATTCTCAAATCAGAAATAGCAGGATTGGGGCTGGCCCGGTGGCGCACTCGGTAGAGTGCAGCACTTGGGAACGCGGCGGGAGCACCGCCGAGGGTTCGGATCCCATATAGAGACCTGTCAGCTTACTGGTTGAGCGCGGTGCGGGTGCAACACCGAGGGTTGCGATCCCGTTGCCGGTCACGGTACGGGTG